CCCGGCCGCAGCCCTAGCAGCAGTGCCCGGGGGCGCCCCCAGGAGCACTCAGTGCGCCCCCGTGCCCGGCGCCGCCGCTCCCACTCGCTGCATCCTCCCCCTCCAAGTTTAGCGGCAGCCGCCCGCCAACGATGCTTCCCGGAGAACCAAGCCCGGGAGGCACTCAGCAGCGAGGCAGACTGGACACGCCGGACCTGCGACCCTCGCCGCGAGCAGCCTCGACGTCGGCCCTCTGCGGGCGAGCTCTCCCCGGGAACTTTCTCTCCGGCTGCCGGCGCCTGCGTCTGCGAGGCCGTGGCGCCTCCCGCCCGCTGCTCTCGCCTCCCTTCTCCTCCCCCCACCCCGCCCGCCTCTCACCACTCCCCCGCCCCCAGCACGTGTACTCCTCCCCTAGGGCGCACTCTCCGGTGCGCTCCTCCCTTCCCCTGTGAGGCTCAACTACTGACCAACACAATCGCTCTCCTTCTCCCCTTTTCTCTCCTCCCTCCCCTACGGAGCCTAAACAAGCCCCCCTCTAACCCTCGGAGGCTGCTGCAGAGAGGAACAGGTTATGGCACCGCAGGGACTCTCGAAACAAGGGTTTCGATAGAACCGTCGCTATAGTCCGGGCTTCGCACGACCCCCGAGGCGACCCGAGGCCCCCACCACCCCCCTGGGGCGGGAGATGCACGAGAAGATTAATTGCTCCAGCAGAGCTAACAAACAGGCTTGCAACAAGCCAACGAGCGCCCGCGCCCGCCGGGACCGGCTCCTGCAGGGCTTTCTGGACGGGCGGGGGCGCAACGCCGACCTGCAAAACGCTGGAAACCTGGCAGAGAGAAAGCCCAGAGTTCCGCGGCCCCGCCGCCGCAGATAGTTGAGCTTTTGATGTTTTGGAGCCTTACCGCTTCACGGGGCTTTCTGGATTTTGTTTTGTTTTTCCTCCTTTTCTCTGATCAGCTCTCTAGTGTAAACCGCTTTAAAAATGGGGCAAGAGGGAGAATTTCAGAAGAGCAGCAGCTGAGTTGTAATCCAGGTGCAAGCCAGTGATGGGGACCTTCAGGGTAAGGGCCTCAGCCTAGAAGGTTTGTGACTACCCCTGGGAAGGACGTCCTTCTCTGGCCAGTTCATCAAGCACCAACTTAAGGCCTGCTAGGGGTTAAGTCCACTTGAAATCCTTTTTTTGGCACAAGGCCAGCTCTGTTTAATGAAATAAATACACACCCACCGTGTGCGGTACCTGTGCCAAGTGCCAGCCAGAGAATAAAACAAAACAACCAAAATGTGTGTAAGATCCAGTTCCTGCTTTCAAGGAACCCCAAATCAAAGGGGAGCCAGACCCTTAAATAAATGCCTGTTTAATAGGGTCAATTCTGAAAGTCATTGTTTTTGCAGAATGTGTTACTCCATCACAACTCAAAATGTGGTCCACAGCAGCATAAGCATTGCCTGGGAGTTTGCAAGAAATTCAGGCTCTAGTTCCAACCCAGACCTACTGAGCCAGAATGTGCATTTTTAACAAGACCCTCTGGAGATTTATGTGCACATTCAAGTGTGAGAAGCATGACTCTTTCAAGTCTGTCCCGATGCTTCTTGGGGATCACCATCTGCACAGTTCCTCTTGGACTGACTAAGAGATAATTTTGCTTGTGTTAGCCTGGCATAGTGGCACAGGTAAGAGATACCTGGAGGACCAGGGGAAGGAAAAGATTCACTAATTATTTTCAGCAATCCCATTTCAGTACCCACGGATACTGAAGGCATGAATACAAGACGAATTGCAGTGGAAACCCCTAGAGGAAATGAAATGGAAAAGGCTGGGTTGACTTGTCTAGAACAACCCAGCGGTCTGTTTTGTCTGTAGATCAGTCTTACTATTGAGGATCTTCTCCTATGTGGGTGATCTCTACCAAACATACCTGCCAGTGACAAAACAAAACAAAACATAACATAACAAAACAAAAACAACTTTTCATACGTTTGCAGAATTTTCTTCTCATCGACCAGGCTGTATAAGGATGCATTTATCAACAGCAAATAAAAGCCCATAGAACAGTGTTAAATACGTCATTTGGAAAGCTAACCAAGAGCCCTTGGCATATTTTAGCCAACGGAAAAAGTTAAGCTGATAATATGCTCTTGTCCTGCCATAAGACAGCATTCAGGTGGCATTGGTTAAAGCAACTCTAATGAACACAGTGGCATCTTATTATTAGGATTTAATATTTTCTTAAAACTTTTGTCCGTGGAGCTCATGTAGGGCTGGTGAAAATAGATATTTTTGAATCCAGAACAGGCCAAAAGAGTCATCAGGTGTCTGTCTTTAAACATTTAGCCAGCTCTTTAATAGAATGTTTCTTTGACATCTTTCACCTGCTCTCAGTTAATAGAACCCTTGGAATAATTTCACATGCACAAATGGACTCCTTTTATTTGACAGTTTAAAAAGCAATTGTTTGAAATTGTACTTTTTGCTTCATTTAAATAGTGCCCATTACCAAGTAGCCTTTGCTGTAGCTCTAATGACTCACCCGGCAAAAGAGAGAATTGGGTTTTATATACCTTTCAGATTCAAAGCATCCAGGAGCATTTTGGAAGCGAGGCCCTGCTGATGAATGGAAAATGCATTTCTGGGTTTATCTTAGGCCACAGTCCTGGTTTCAGTGACACTGGATTCATAGTATCCCCTCTGCAACAGTGTTTCCTTCTGACATGACGTAGTAGGAGACTGTCCCACGTGACAAGCTTTCACCATTTTGCTAGGAAGGCTCAGCTGGTGGGGATAGGTACCATTTTTTTTTCAAGTTTTTTCCTATGAAGAGCCTCACCATTTAATTCATCTTGTTACTTAGTTTTTTCAGTGATCGTCCCTATGAAGCATTCTAGTGCCTCCTTCTGTCTTCCAGGTGGCTGTACCAGTTGACACCACTAGGGCAGAGGTTCTCAAACTTAAGCTGCATCAGAATCCCCTAGAGGGCTTTGAATGCTCAGATTGCTAAACCCCACCCCCAGGGATTCAGCTTCAGTAACTCCGGGTGGGGCCTGAGAATTTGTATCTCTAACAAGTTTCCGAACCAGCTAATGCTGCTGGACCAGGAACCACATTTTGAGAACCACTGGGCTAGGTTCTGCAGTGGTCACCATAACACACAGTAAAACAACGGAAGTTTGCTCCAGGGTAGCAGAATACATGACCCCAAAATACACTACTTTGGCATAAAGATTATTTTGAGCTGAAGGCAAATGAGAAGAAGCAGATACAAGAAAAGCTCTCTGCCCTCCCCGCCATTTGCCTAAATGTAGGAAATAAATTTGTAGAGACGTTCCCCTCTCTCAGAAAGAAGTAAATCACTGGCTACAGGTCTAGATCCTTAGCAGCCCAGGGACCGCACCAGAGGAATCCATCTACAAACTCTGCTAAAACTCGAGTTTATCCAAACATTGGTTTCCCCGTATATTTGCCTTCCCACAATTTGCCACCCCTAGAGGCACAAAGTCTTTTTCCTTTGTCTTCTCACCCCTCTAAAAATGTACTGTTATGTTGTTGCAGTGCTATAAAAGCCCAAGTTCCAACCGCCCTGATGAATTACTCATTACTGGGTAATCCCATGTGTGTCCACTATGCGCCTATTAATAAACTTGTTTGTTTTTCTCGCTTATCTGGCTTTTGTGGGTCTCATTTACAAGGCCCCCGCCAATGAACCTAAGATGGGTGGAGGAAAAATAGTTTTTCCTCTCTTACACTTCATGTCTGCCAAGGAATGTGTGTCTGGATGATGGTTACTCAGGTACCTGGGGGCAGCCACAGTCTCAAATACCGCTGCTGTCTGTGCCAGAGGGAGGAGAGACCTCTGAAGGGTCTGGGGCTGGCAGTCTAGGCCCTTGGGCTCTGCTCACCACTACTCACCGCTCATTGGCCAAAGCTGGTCACGTGGCCCTGCCAGAGCCCATCATGTGACCGCACCAAACCACCAGGAGGTCGGGAACTGTGGTTCTCCCACTGCAGGCTGAGCTCTGAACTCTGTGCCAACAGTCCCTGTGACAACCACACCAGTGCAAACCTCATCCCGCTTCCTTGCTTTCTAGGACCTCTCTTGCCTGCCTCCCACCCCCAGTAGATTTAGTCCAGTTTGTTCCAAAGCCACTGGCGTGGCTCTCCATTATAGCATTTACAGAACATGGTTTTGTGATATGGGTGAGTATCTGTCGCCTCCTAGCCAGGGAGGGCCTCAAGGACCTATCATCTTATCCATGGCCCTGAACACTGTGCCCAGCACATTAGGTACTTTATAAACAAAGTATTGATGGAATGAATACATGAATACATTTTGGCTACAATGTGAAGAAGATAAAGAAGACTTTTGCCCCTGTTAGGGGGTGCCCACTCTCACCATCACTTCAGTACCACCCCAAGTTTCTATTCATCTTCCCTGTCAAGGTCAGCAGTGACCTGTGGATATATCTCATCAGAGTTGGACACTCTCGAATGCACCCTTTTTACAACAGTCACATCCTTAACTTTCCTGATGGTGTGTGTTTACAGCTCTACCTTCTCCCGCCAGCTCTTTCCGGGGCCTCTGGGCCTCTGTTCTAGGCCCTCTTTTCTACTCAGTCTTTTCACTCCTCTTCCCAGGAGAGCTCATCAGTTCTCCAGCTGAAGGTATTTGCTGTCTGCTGCTGACTCCTACGTCTGTATCTGGCACTGGAGCCTTTTC